CTACAAAACAATAAATTGGTTCCAAATTATTAGCACAGCCTTGAATTAGTGAGTATTTATTTTATTATTAAAAGAAAACGCATGTGTTATGGTGTTTAAATTAACCCCTTCCCAAGTCAAAATATAAAATTTACGTTTGGTAGTTTGTTTAAGCTAGACTGGTAACACTTACTTTTGCTTTAACAATGAACAATTTCTTGTTCTTCACCTCCCACAGCAGCGTTACTTACGCATCAAGATTAAATGATGATTAAAGTAGTCTTTGCTCAAGACAGGGAGGAAAACCAAGCAAACAAAAAAATCCCACTTTTTCCTGAAGTACTAAAGACTCTGCACTACTAGCCGCTTTGACAGACTAATGTTTTGCTGAGTGGCAGGGAATGGTCACAGGATTGAAAACTATAAATAACAGTTAGACAGCATAAGTCAACTGTAATCACAAAAGTAGCCTATGCAGTGTTTTCCCTAAGTAATAACTAAAGTAACTTATCTTGGAACTCTGCTCTTTCTTGGGTCAGGCTTCTGATTTTCCACCATGTAACCAAATCAGTAATTCCAAATTATCCATCATTTGTTCTTCCTGTCATGTCGAGTGTAACTAGCGAGTCCTCCAGTGATGCTTGGTTGAGTCATTTGTTTCTCCACCACCCATCTCCACCTCACGTATGCTAATACCTTGGTTATACTCAAAGCTGTGTTTTTTGCCTCAAGTGAACAAGTTTGTTGTTTCTGACTTTAGCAGAACAGTTTTCTTGCATATTTTGCAAAGATTTGTGCTTTTATAGAAGTTATTGAAATAGCTAAATTGTCTTTGGAGGCTGACATGTGGCTCTCACTGTCAGCATGTTTAGACAGTTTTGATTGTTGTGCATGATATCATTGATATCATTATATGATGCTTTTATAACAATTCATACAGGTATTAATATATGATAGACAATATAATAAGACAGCTTTAATTTACTGTACATGCTAGACTATAGAAACTTTATTTCTCAGAGTCAATACTATATCCAGTAGGATGTAGCATAAAATCAGCCAGTCATATACTAATATGACCACACTTTAACTTGTAGAAGTGTATTCAGTTATCAAATGGGAAATGGGAGGGGCAGTAGGCGCGACTTTGTTGGTGCCCTTTTTCTTCTTGTGTTTATCTTTCCATGTTAGTTGTGTTCCGTCAGTATTCTGTACAATGTAAGTGATATAGCTTCATACATGCATGGCTTAAATCCACACGCTGACCTTCTCACCATTCTTTGTTCAGCTGCATTGCTAACAATGAGTAACCGCCACCCCTTGCTTCATTTCCTCTGAACTTCCTGAAATGCAGGAAGCCAGGTTGCTTTTGTCTCCCCCAGGTTGGAGAAATGGGGGGAGAGAACTTAAATAGGGTGGACTCACGCCAGAGGTCAATGACCACACATTGAGGGGGACACACCCTGGCTCTGATTTTTTTCTTCTTCTTTTTTTAAAAAACAAAAACAACACCTCTTACTGCAGCAAGCATAACTTCAGTAACTGAGGTGTTTTAGATGATCAAAGTGTGTGATATCATATTGCTTCCACTGTGATCCATCCTTAGAAAAATTGGTGCCAAATGTTCATACACTAACTGGACCTATGAGATTCCCTCCTTCGTGACTCCTGGTAATGAGGCTTAGCAAGTGAATGAGGGCAAAGGAAACAGCTGCAGAATACAAACAAAAACAGAAACAACAGAAAATGTCATATACCCTAAATAACAACAGCTAATTAGAGAGGAAAGGCTTGAACTGACACATTATTAAAACAGAGACAACTTAAATAAGTGCTGGCAACACAAAGTGGATGGATTCCAACTAAACCTGTTTTAAATTTGAGGCCATAATTTATTTATATAGCACTTATTAAACAACACATGCCTGACCAAAGTTCTATACAGCAGAAATATAAAAAGTGCAAGTACAAAGTACAAGTAATTGCTGCATGCCTAGCAGGCATGCTATTACCAATGAGTACAAATGATGCATCACAGGTTAATAAATCTGCGATCTACATAGACACCTGCAGAATAGCAAACAACTGTCGGCTGCACAGGCCTAAAGACAGGGTCGTGACTCCCTATCATCTGTCGTTCACCAAAGGAAATAATAGTGATGGGTTTCATTGGGTAAACCTTGTGTCTTACATCTAAAGCCAACACCATGCAATAGTCACACCTTTTGTTTTAAAGGTGAATGGTCTCTGTTTCCAGTTTGTGTTGCACTCTTATTTTGAATGTTCAACCACTGCTGACCAGCTAGCTCTACGCCTTCCTGTGTGTTTTCCCTTCCAGGGCATGCTCACTGGAGTACTTGATAGTGCTGCTTTGAGTTTATCTGCAGTATGAGGCAGCTGAATATATTGCATGGTTATTCATCACAAAGTAGATGGCAAATAAAATGTTTCCAGGGGAGAAATTTATAAATTGCATTATGTAATAATTTATAAAAGAAATGGTGTATGACCCTCGCCACAAATTAAATCTAAATCTACAGAGATTTAGAGCATTTGGGCATTTTGTCACGATCATACTGTGTCAGCTGTGATTTCCATGCTTACTTTCTCCATCACTAACGTTCAGACACTGTGCATCATCATTAACCTACCTTAAGTTCTCCTCCAGTGCTGCTTCTTCCCACATACCCATCTTTTATTCAGCATCGCTTGTCACTACCTCCTACATCATGGTGGTGTGTGTGTGTATATACACATATATGTATGAATGTGTGTATATATATATAAGTGTGTGTGTGTGTCCTTTGAGGCTCTTTAAGTGGCTCTCCAACACAAAGTTCAAAAGAGTTTGTAGACAATAGCAGCGGCTTGCATGTGTGAGCTGCTGTGCAGAGAGCCTCTGTGATCTCAGCTGTACTTATCACTGCATGGTGTGTTTAATGGCACACGTAAACCAAAGCTTTACACCAACAAGACTCAGCGAGATCTGGTTGCAAGCCGCTAATGCCTCCCCTGTCATCACCTTCACTCGTTATATTTTCTCTACTACTGTTTCTCTCTCACTCTCTGTCAATCATGTTTCAAATCTGTCATCTTCATCCCTTTATTTTTCTGCTCTCTTGCCCTCTTTGCCCTTTTCTCTCTCATTATCAGCTTCTCACTCTTTGCCTGTCTCTTGACATCAGTTTCTCTTTCTCTGCGTTTGTCTGTCTGGGTGTTGGTTCTTTGTGACCCTTCCTGTTGCGCTGACATCATCCAGGAGGCCAGGAAGCCGCTCGTTGGCTAACCACCCCACGCTGCTAGTTTGCATTGAATTTTAGTTTTGTTTCTTTTCTGGTTCAGAGTTTAATGCGTGGCAGTGTCGATGTAATGTTAGTGTGACATTATCATTAATTTTTCCTCAGGCTATTGTAACATTTGAGAGTAAATGTTTAACCTGGACCAGAGCACAATAAAGATTCTGAAGTCATGTCAACAAATGGTTTCATCTAAGCTAGTGCAGGATATTACAGGTCACCAGAAAATTCCACCATTAAATCAACCAAATAAAAGTCTGCTGTTCAAACAACAGTGGCTCTCTGTTGCACTAACCACAGAAACTATTATGTCTGCAGGCTCCGAATTCTACATTTCCTGTTTATAATTCAGCAGTAAAATGTCACGTTCCAGGATGTCTGGGACTATGGGATGTAATTGGGACAAGGAACTAGGACACTAAATTGATACTGATATATTCATTCAGTAGCTGTGCATAACAGCCATATGCTAGGCTCTGTAGCTGCTACTGGATTTAAACAGACACATCTGGCAAGGGAAGGCAGTATATTTACAGCAACACATAAAAGCAAATCAAGTACAAATACATAAAAAATTAGAAATGAAATCAGTTTGTATTCTAAATGCCAACTTTACTCATCTGTTTATTGGTGTCTTTTGGGTTTTGTTTTGTTTTTTTTTTACATTTCCCAGTAGCCTGAGATTATTTTCCATCATGTCCTCTATTAAAACACATTATTTGTAATGGGTTGCCAGAAATAAATACCTGGGCTACTTTCCATTGAAACAAATGTAACA